TTCACTACTGAACTTGGATTAATACTCAGTAGCCGGCTAACATTCAACGTGAGTGTCGTAAGGTTCGATGTTCTGCCAGGAAAACTTGATACTACAAAATTCAATTCTTAAGGGCGCCACATCTAGCGAGGTAGTAAACCTCTTGATCAAGGAGGTTAGGCTCTTCCAAGCATAGAATAATGCAAGTGTAAAAAACTCGGTATTGTGGCAGAGAGGAATTTAATATGTCTCTATTTCGATTTGAAATTAAATATGATGATGTAACTACAAATCATAATTGTGGTGTGAAGTACAGTAACAATCGAGGTATCAACAATAAAAAATCCTAATATAGGATTAATTCGTTCACACCGCAAATCATCAACAGTGACAACAATATCTTACTACGGTAATTAATACGGGTTCTGGATTCGCTACCCCACCAACTTTTCTTTAGATTTAACAGCAAGGTGTATTATCTTTTTCAACCGAAATCGTTTTATTGACAAAGAAGGTGATTTATATAGGCAAATGTCAAGTGACATTTCCATGGCAATCATGAAATTACGAACACACAGCCCACTTAACTAGATATGTATTCGAGTCAACGTCAATATGGTTTATGTTTCCCTTATTTTTCGCGTCGTGCCATTAAACTCGTTGCGCGTGCTTGATTATACACTTTTTTTCACTTCACGTTTTCGTGCACGTTGTCAAGAGCAACCTTACTTATTAATTAACAGTTAAAAAATCTATAGTACTTCGTGGTTCCAAGTTTGTTAGAAAATGACAGGTTTTTTTGACAGTTGTAAAACAAAATAATTATTGGAAAAAATCTAACGTTGCTGTACATGTGATTGAAAAATAGTTAAACAAGTACATAGTAGTGTTATAGATATCTAATAAATCTAATAAAAAAAGACATACATTTCTTGAAACCTGTAGGTGTGTTCCTAGCGTCAGAGGGAAGGAGACACAGAGAATGAGACTGCTGACCTTATAACTTCTTTGTCAGAATGTTCATTTCATACCCAAATCAATGAATCCTCTAGATCGGGCGTGGACAACCTAGATCCGGCCCACCAATAAGTTTTGTTCGGCTCGCTAACATAATTCAGAGTTAATACTTCAACATGACATATGGGGATTTATTATCCACGTCTGGTAATGGTAAATTTTGTATGCAAAATCGTGTCAATTTTCAGGAGTAGGTACTTATTGTTTTATTTAATGATTTTTACGAAAACAAAAAATAGATCAAGACCAAAAAGAAACAGATAAATATTGATTTCTTTAAACATACTTTTTATTTGGATTTTCAAGTGTGGCCCGTGGCGCATATGAAAAATTTTATTTTGGCCCCTTGGAAAAAAAGGTTGCCCACGCCTGCTCTAGATAGACATACAGAGTGGCGGATAAGAATGGAATCTACAGCCTTAATCATTCGTTAAATTGAAAAAAGTGTGAGAAGAAAGTTGACTGATAAGTATTATATTATGCATGTTTTGACGTACACGGATATTTTTTCGAATGACGTCATTTCAAGTTATGTCATGTTGAGCATATTTTTTAAATTGAACACCCTATATTTTTTTAGTTTTTTATGATCCTCTAGACGAGGTGCTTCAATATGGTATAGGGTTTTAACACTCTGAAGTTCTTTTTTTTCTCGATAGAAAACACTATTAGAGCTTTTAATGATCGTTTGGGGTGAATGGACAACACATCGAACATTTAATTAAATAAAACCATTTCAAGTACTAATTTTAACATTTGAGTTCATTAATTTTTCTGTTTGCTTTGATGAAATACATCACGCATTTCTCAATGTTTTGATTTAATTACATTAAAACAAAAATATCTTGAAATCTGAGAACTTCAGAGTGTTAAAACCCTACACCATTTTTAAGCACCACGTCTAGAGGATCATAAAAAAATAATAAAATACAGGGTGTTCATTTAAAAAATGCTCAACATGACATTACTTGAAATGGCGCCATTCGAAAAAATATCCGTGTACTTCAAAACATGCATAATATAATATCAAACAGCTTTCATCTCACACTTTTTTCAATATAACGAATGGTTAAGGCTGTAGCTCGCTGATTCCATACTTTTTCGCCACTGGATAATAAAACGTGGTCACTATTGTAACCTCCGCGTTACTTAACCTACTCATCTGAACGTCCTATTTGTTATGTCCGATTAGAATCTGTCAAAAAACTAGTTGTCAGGTAAACTCCTGACTTGACTTTCCGACTAATTTTAATAGAGTCATTGCAATTATCTTTGGTCATAGTATAACATTTTTAAAATGCCCCAGCGCCTTTATTTTGAACCCGAGGCAAAAAGTGTAGAAGCCTTTTTTGTAGATCTCATCAAGACACATCTCTTTTGTAATTAACAATTTTCACTCTGATGCTTACTTTTAGAGAAAAGTGCAAATTTACAAAAATAAAATAGTTAAACTTTTCAATTCAAAAAATCTAAAAAACAAAGGAACTCACAAAAAAATTGTATGAAATTTTTTGTAGTGTTTTAAGCCATCTTGGCCCCTGTATAGAAAAAAATGCGATTCCGCATACCGCCCTATGCACCCCAAATTTCGTCCAAATCGGTTCAGGAGTTTTTTAGTTATCGTGTTCACAAAAAACGAACCACATAAACCCACACTCACACACAGACGTCAAGCTAATATCTATTTATATATCAAGTACATAAACTGGGTCTTTATGGACGAGCCGTTTATTTTAGCCGAGCGAGCTTGCGAGCGAGGCACAAATAAACAAGGCGAGTTCCCATAAAGCCTATTTATGGACGCGATATATACAAAGCTTTATGTACGACTGCAACAACCCTTAAAAATGAAAATTTCATGGAATTCAATAAACGATAAAATCTATATATCATTGACAACAGATGTCAAGCATTTGTCAAGTATTTCTAAAATACTTGAATTTACCTTTTGCAATTATGGCCACTTAATTGCGACTGTAATCACCGCATATCAAGCAATCGTACCTAAAAACTTTTTTGGGGTCTGGTGTGCTTCAAAAACGTCCAGAAACGTAATATTGGCATATCGAAATTTAGGCACGATTACAATATTTTCCTTATCTACTTTTACTTATTTGACGTTACACGACTAGGGCTGGGCGATTACGGGTTTGAATAATCGATAATCGATTATGAAAAATAATCGATTACACTGATTAATCGATTAATCAAATAATCGATTAATCAAATAATAGATTAATCAAATAATCGATTAATCACCTAATCGTTTAATCAAAAGTCGATTGTCACATAGAAGGAGTGATAAATATCTGTTTGTATGCATTAATACGTTAATTATTTAATAATAAAAATAAAAAATAATTCCATTACTCTTTTCATCAAATCGTTCATTACTAGGCAGATCGATTAATCAATAATCAACAAAGTGTCCCTGGTTCGAATCCGGGTTCGGGCATGGATATTTGCAAATGCATAGTGGGTTGGTTGGTAGAACAGCCTTGGCTGAAACCCTGCCCATTTGAAAATGAAGGTCAAAAATAAAAATAAATAAATAAAAATAAATGATTAGGCAGCTTACTCTCCGATGAGGTGTGCTTTAGTTTTGATGATACAATCTTAATTCATTTTAGCTGCTTAAAGTGACGTTTTAACATCCGCTATAAAATAAAATAATTTTTTATTCATTATGATCAAACAGTATATCTGCCTCTGTTTATAATTATTGATTTATGGTTTTTGGTTTTATCGCTAAGGCTAAGACGGCCAACGACATTATGAAATGAAAATCACTATCTGTTGCATTACCGCTGATCTTTGCATACGCGCCTTTTATTAGGTTAATGTCCGCATTCATATTAAAAAAATTAAAATTAAGCAGAAACGAGACCTTAAAAATATAACACTTGAAATGTACTTGTGAGCTGTGAGTGCTCCTTTTTGCGTAAACTGATGATCCAGCTAATAATAATCAATTAAAATTTACTTAATAATCGATTAATCAAACAATCGATTAATCAAATAACCGATTAATCAAATAATCGATTAATCAAATAATCGATTAATCAAATAATAGATTAATCGATTAATTTAATAGAATAATCAAACCCGATTATCGATTATCGTTTGATTATAATCGATTAATCGATTTTTTTGCCCAACGCTAACCACGACCTAACGGTGTAACTCGTATTGTATCGTCCCGCCTCGGTCTTCACATAACTAACGGGCAGTTTTGCACAAAGAAAACAATGCTAAATCTGTGTAGCTACGGAGTGTATGTATATGGACATTTTTAAAGCCGAATCTTACGCATTAAGTTCACTATCTTACATCCTCCACTTCCATACTATCTTATAATACCTACTTAACTACAAAATACAAGAAGTATCTGGTTAGACCCAGTACCTACCCTTTTTCCACCGGATACTCCCGTCTAGGACTTAGCTGCTGGCCCTTACCGATACAAATCAAACTCTCAATACAAGTACAATTGGAATTCATTAGTAGCCATTATTTAGATATTCACAAAGAAAAACGATATACCTCACTGTAATGGCTATGAAGATTTGTCCCCTTTAAATCTCGAATTTCGCGTCAAACTCCTTTAAGACTAATTTGCGCCGCCAAAACCGCAACTTTTGGCTAAGAGCAATTCTGCGACCTGCCAGGCGTTCGCTTTCCTGGACAGCTTCCGCGATTCTCCTTAATTTCTCATCATAGGGCGAGGGCCTAAGTTGGTTTTCGTTAAGAAACACCCAGATCGAATTACCGTTTTATAACCGGCCGGAAAGGTTTGAAAAATTAGGCTACAGTCTTTCGCACGCCGACTTCTTTTAATACAGGACTGTATCTAAAACTACGCGTCCCAAAGTATAGAAAGTACCCCTTTGAACAAAATGATATTCTATAATTGCCCTCACGCACGACTATAGGATCAATTTGAAGCAATCTAATAAATTTCGACAGAACATTAAGAGTGCCGTTGCACGATATATTGGTTTATTTTATCTTTGGATCCTTTACAATGATAAATAAACGATACAATATACAAACTTTACAAAACTATAGCTAATAAAGATACAGACCATTTAAATTCAGTACTTAATGAGTAACAGCACCGTTTGAATAGACAAATATATTCGCTAATAAAGAATAGTTTCTTTAACAGAAAATGTCCAACGCTGAAACTGTTTATCACTTCACACATTCCGTTATCATTATACGAAAGCATAACTATTTATGTAGGAGAGTAGCATAAATACTCCAGTTTAGTGCATTTTGACTTATGACTACGTGCCATAAGGCACATCTTAAAATTAAATGACTTGGTGATCACACTTTTCACGGCGAGTTAATTGCTTTTTAAACATTAAAAATAGGAACGACTTATTTATTAACATTCTTATCTTGAACATCCTAAATCTAACTTAATTGCATTTCTCATCCTCGCAGACGTCAAAAATACAAACGGTTATAACCTAAATCTTCGCAATAAACTCTTCAGATACGAGCGGAAGATAGAAAACCTTTTATGTTTAATCGAGGCGCCCCAACGCGGACGCGCTCTGGCTTTTAATTTCCTATTTGAGTAATCCATTTATGAACAACACGTCTCTAATAAATGCAGGCATGGCAGACTGCACTTGGAGAACAAATTAACAGAACAGCATGGAATTCCATTATGAGTTCATAAACGACATCTAAGGAGCTCATATTGACTACTTATGCTTTCAAATTTCGCAATAACACCTATATTAAGCTTTAATAATATAATATATCACCTGATATGACTGTAGAGAGCTTTATAGCTAATGATATACAATCTTGAATGCTTTAAAATAATGTTGGGTACAATCTAAGTTACATTTTTAAGTATCCATGGGACAAATTTAGATATTCGCGTACATACACCCGGTAAATTTGCTTCGGCACATCCTATTCCCCATGATATAATACCCGCTAGAAAATATCTTCCGTCCTTTCCTTTAACTTGTAATGGACCTCCTGAATCTCCCTGACACGAATCCTGTCCTCCCGTTTCGTGGCCGGCGCAGAGAAATATATCAGGAATAAATTCGTGTCTTCCGGCTCGTAAAAACATGCTTTTACAGCGGTCGTTGCTAACGATGGGCACTTGTACCTAAAAAACAATTTCAATTTTTAGAGAAAGTAGGAATAAAATCACAAAATCTTAAATTATAACCATCAGTATGAGCAATATTTTTCAATAAATGTTCGCCATTCCTCATGGACTTCTAAAAATTTCGTTATAAAAAGGAAATTAAAATGTTACGATAGGGAGAAACATATTTTCGTACAGACGAAAAGAATTATTTCAATTATTTCATTTCAGATTAAAATCTCTTTGTTTGTTTTTATTATTGTGAATTTCATTTTAACAGCGTACGCGTTGAGCTTAGTTAATTGATACAGTAATACAAGACGTGCACTAACTATATCATTACAAAGTTACTCACAAATCGGTCTGCAACAGATTAGTAATTTTTTTCTTTATTTTTAACATTATTTCATTTACGCCCTTTTGCTTTGCGGTTAAAATCATTAGGCAAAATTTTCGATTTTGTAGGTTTATGGTCTATTCTTTCTTTCTCAAATACGTTTTAGATGTTGAAATTTCTGCGTGTAATTTTCATTTTATTTTACATGCTCTATTTTTATATGTAGACTAAAACATGGCGCGTCTATTGTGTTAAATGTTAGATGCACTGTTTATTTCTTAAGTTTTGTAACATTCTGAAGCATGATATAGACTAGATTTATGAGAAGTTTACGTGTAGAAATTTAACAGGACAAGTTGACGTAAATCTTGTTTAAAATGCTGTGCATCATCTTCACAATGTTTTAAAAGTTAACACCAGGCGGCACGTCCAACATTTAATACAAAAGATTGCATTCTTTTAAATATAGAAAATACATTACACGCGCTTTAAGCTTTTTACGTGTATTTCTACAAGTAGAAATTACATGTAGGTACTTTACATGTCGAAATTTGATCGTCTAACAGGGGAGGAGATGGCGTGCAGCGAGTAGGTGCGTGATTGTTGTGGTTCTGCAAATCGTTATTCTTTAAAACTGGAATCGCTGATAAATGTTATCTTCTATAGAAAAAAAGCGCAATCATTGGCCTCGGTGCTTTATAAGCTGCATACAATATGGTGAACACAAGACAACAAAAAAAGAACTACACGGATCTCAAGGAGGCGATTTTTGAGGTCGGTATCAACAAAACTCCACAACTGCAAAATATCTACAGCACGAACTGTTTAAATAATAAAACTAACTAAACAATTTGCAACTTGGAAAATAATTAATTAATTAAAAAAATTAAGAACGCGCATTGAAAATTTTGAAGAATACTCCAAAAGAAATTTTGTGTGAGTGTTCGGTATAGAAGAGATACCTAATGAAACCTTACTGCATAAAGAGTTATCAATTTTTAACGCAAACTTCATAACAACATACAACAATGCGACATCGACGGATGTCACAGAATCGGTAAACAAATAAATGCATCGCCTGAAAAACCTGAACATAATATTATCAAATTGATTAAGAACTCCCTTGATGCAAAGAAAACGTTTAAAGGTGGCTACTTTAGTAATAAAATAAGATTTGACCAAACTGAATTACTGAAGACGTTGTAATGATTGTAATTGTAATTGTAATGATGTAATGATTTATTTTCTCCATTACGACGCATTATTATTGCTTACGGTTTATTACTTGTTGAAAGACCCCCGTATCGTTTAAGGCGATTTGATAGAAGGCTCCATCTATTGATGGAATTTTACCGCGCCGATTGCCAGGGCCTTGATTTGTCGGCGCCGATTCTCATATTTCTTTTTCCTTTATAAGCCAAAGCACGTCAGTTAAAAAATTTCCGCGAAGTTATTTCACGTTCCACTTTCATGAAATAACTTTCAGCATGTAAAATCGGTTTTAGGCCCATGAATCAAAGTAGGCGTACTATTGCAAGTTTCCATCTAACAAGCACAAAGTTAAACGGGAACTACAGTCATTATATATTAATCTCGAAAACCAGAAGGTATGAAACAAGCTAAAACACTAAATGTAAACAATAAACAAAACCTGAAAGCATGTATGAAAGGAAAACTTTCCAATATTTATATTTCGCATATACGATGAACCAACTTCCCGATTTGGGTACATAAAAAGAAAATTGCTTACCTCTTGCAAAACTGAAGGCAACGTTCCACCTTCGCTAAGCCTTCCCCATCCTGTTACGGTAGCGTTTTCTCCTATAAGGAGATCATCAGACGCGGGGAGACAAATCGGAGAAATATGCGGAGCAAATTCCAAGGATTTGTCAAGCTTCACAAGAGCTAAGTCGTATTCGTAAGTGAAAAAGTTATATTTGGGATGAACTATTTTCTTAGCAATTCCACGTTCAACATACGGCAGATCCTCTTGCACACTTGAAAAGTCGTATTCTCCAACTCGAATGCGTATTTGCGATGTTAATAAACTGAAAGTAAGATGTTTAATCTATTTAGTATTTACTTGGGATAACTTTCTCGATTTAAGGGCAGAAAGAAACTTGAAAAGGTAAACAAAAACATTAATATGTCACTTTTCAAGTTACGTGTACCTTTCTTAACAGAGATCAAAATTATTTCAGAATGACAAACTTGATTTGGACAAGCATAATGCAAAGTTGAAATTGTCTTAACAACACTTTTTCTTTTTATATTATCCTGAGTTTTCATGTAAATTTACAGCCTGACCTAAACACATGGCTCTGAATAGCTCCTCTCCAAGATTTTTTCAACATTTTAGCATATCTTGTTATCTTCAATATGGGAACGTCAAAGGCACTATGCGTTGTGGCAGAATAAAAAAATACAATAAGAACAGTATGTTCAGTTGACAAAAAGATTACTTCGAGTTTTGATTAATTGAAAATTAATTGGTATAGGTAGTCGTTTTCATATGTATAGCTCCGTAGAGCAGGTGAATAATATTCAAAGGTGCAATAAAGCAGGTCGATAGACAAGAATTGGTATTTTTCTCGGTAATTTGAATTTAAATATTCTTACGGAAAGAATTCAGTTTTAGCAACTCAATTTATTTGTATTGCATTAAAGATGAGATCGCAATTTGAAAATAAAATAGATGAGAATTCATTTTTGAAATGAAATATATATTCCATTTCCCTTGAGCGGTCTGCAAATCAACATTCCTCATTGGTCAAATAACGAAATATCAATAAATGCTCTTGACAACTGTCAGTAATTTTCAAGTAGTGAGGCAATAACTTACTCCGTTGTTCAATGCCACATTAATTAATAAGTTGACAACAATAGCTATCAAAAAGTGCGGTTGCGTCCTCGTAATTTTCATTTGACTTGAGTTAGGGCCAAATTGTGTTTCACTGCAATTTTAACTATTATTACAGGTGGAATTTATATGTATAATTATACCGGGTGATTCATTAGAAGTGGGGACAATTTGAATTTCCCGCAAATCAAAACAAGTTAAAAAGTAATCGTAAACGATTTACATAAAGCGCATTTCCACTTGCATTCATTTCCCATTTGTAAGATGCAACTTATGTTAAAATCGTAAAAATCCGATCACAAATATGAAAGATAGCGTTGCACATGGGCAATCCATTTTTGCCGTGTTTCTTCAAGTTCAGTTTATGAGAAGAATTTCATTTCAATGCTTTTTTAAATAAGAAAGTTGGAACTGCGCATGCGCAAACCTAAATTTTGAAACTAATGTTAGATTTTCCTTTGTTCCAAGCGCCTAAATATCAAATTTCACTTAAATGCTTCCATAGATAAAAAAGTTGGCACTGCGCATGCGCAAAACCAAATTTTGAAGCTGGCGTTTGATTTTCCTTTATTCCAAGTGGTCATGTATCAAATTCCATTTAAATACTTTTATAATTAAAAAAGTTTGCAATTCGGTTTACAAATGGCCGAGATGCGAAAAGGGCACTGTGAATTTTGAATCGATTCGACTCAACTTTTGGCATTGCGTATTATATGGCTAAAGCTATGCCCATATTGAATTTCATGCAATTCAGTTAATAACCAACGGAGATGTAAAAGCGATCGGACATTTCTAAACCGAATTGCAAACTTTTTTAATTATAAAAGTATTTAAATGGAATTTGATACATGACCACTTGGAATAAAGGAAAATCAAACGCCAGCTTCAAAATTTGGTTTTGCGCATGCGCAGTGCCAACTTTTTTATCTATGGAAGCATTTAAGTGAAATTTGATATTTAGGCGCTTGGAACAAAGGAAAATCTAACATTAGTTTCAAAATTTAGGTTTGCGCATGCGCAGTTCCAACTTTCTTATTTAAAAAAGCATTGAAATGAAATTCTTCTCATAAACTGAACTTGAAGAAACACGGCAAAAATGGATTGCCCATGTGCAACGCTATCTTTCATATTTGTGATCGGATTTTTACGATTTTAACATAAGTTGCATCTTACAAATGGGAAATGAATGCAAGTGGAAATGCGCTTTATGTAAATCGTTTACGATTACTTTTTAACTTGTTTTG